CCACTTCTGACTCTGCACTGAATTTTCACATCGCTGTGGTAATATATTTTCATTATTTTATATTACAACACAAGTCAGTGAAGAGGTCTTGCTAGGTACCTCCACCTAAGAAGTTTAGAAAATCTTCAAAGGTGGATATTTTTTTCTTTGAAAACATGTAAGCACTGGATTTTCACTATATTGCTTTCATATAGATTCAGTCTTAAAGAAAAGCAAACATCTCACCTGAGATTAATTTATAAAATAAAAATTATAAAATATTCCTGTCTTCACTTTACAGCTGGTTGCTTTTCACTGTACATGACTTAGTTTTCAATGAAACTTAAAGATTTTTGCATTTTATGTTAATTAAGTTTTTGTTAAGTTTATGAAGATTTAGAAATGTTTCCCTTCCCCCACTGTCAAGCATGAAAGACTGGGTTTGAGACTCATCCTTCCAACAGAAATGTTTTCTGTAGCCTGCTGTCCCATTGGTTTGTGATTTTTGGGGTAAGCACAAAGCAATAAGTAGACTGAAGTCTTTTTTTAAATCAACATCATCAGTCACCTCGTCTGAACACCAAATACCTAAATGCCCTCTCAAGACATTGCAGAGAGGAGACTATAACACTTTCTTTTATCATATCTTTCTTTTTTGGATCTCTTCAGTTATTTTTTGCCAGGCTCATTCTAGTTTTTAAGACCAATCTGTTTAAAACATGTATTATCATTCAAGTGGCGGGGGATGCTGACGCAGATCAATTACTGAACACGCTCTTGCTTTAACAGCCTAGCTGCAGAATTGCATATATTGGCTTTGCAATCCACAGAGGCACAGTGCCCACAAATGAAATGCTGCTTATTTTTTAAATGACAGCCTTTCTATCAGAGGAACCTGGGGAATATGGTCAATACATAAATCAACACATTGGGAAAAAGAAATAGAGTTGCAGGGCTCTGCTCCGAGATCTTCAATTTTGTGACTCATGCAATTCACAAGCGAAGGTTAAAAATATTCTTGGGCTTTAACTTGTTGTAATGCAGGGGTTGCCAAACTTTACTGATCGCTGTGTCTCTTAAAAAAAAAAAAAAAGGAGAATTTTCATATGCAAGATCCTCCCCCTAGTGCATGTTTAATTAAAAATTTAATTGCCTTGAGCTAAGTATTTCTGAACCCTGGTAAAGTAAATGAACACTTAAAGGTCCCTTGAGGCCATTATAACAAGCACTAGACAGAAAAGCAGAACTTTGTTTTACCAAAAATACAGGCTTTAACACAACACAATGTAACACCAAGACCTGTCAAACAGCCAAAAGGGCAGTGGACAGGACAGCCAGGTCTGAGCCTGGTGGTGTAGGGGTACCCTGGCCTATTGCAAGCTTTGGAATTATTTTGCTAGAAACTCTGGTGGTTTTTTTTTTCTGTTCCCCAACATCTTTTTCTGTATTCTATTTTTCTGAGGGCAGGGTGTCTATATTTCTGTAATATTTTTTCTTCTTTTTAATGGAGTAGTCGCCTCACTGGAAAGTGCTTGAATTGGTCTAATTAGAGCAGCCTTTGAGGACATCTTGTGTTTTCATTAAAAAAGGAACAGCATACCGTACTCTCCATTAATGCTCTGTGCAATGTGAACTATAAAAAGAAGAAAAAACTCCAATTATCAGAAAAAACATCTTCATATCCCTCTTAATAGTCTGCAATGATCTACAAAAAATGCCTGACAGCCTAAGATCTGATGACCCATCAAAGGGACCTCTTCCCTGGGATGAAGCTTTGGTTTCTTCAAACCAACCCATATTTATCTAGCAAAAATCATACTTATCTAGCATAAGTCAGCATCAAATAAACCACAACCCAGCTTGTTAAGGAATATTGTCACTGTCTTTTCCATTGTCTAGCTGGATTAAAAGGGGATATCTCTGTAACCACCTTTGGAGCTAGAAGAGATGTACCTCTCACTAACTACTGAGCATCCCTCATCTGCCAGTGTCTGCTCTTCTCCCTTCTCCAGCTGAGCTATTTGTGAGAGCTTTCTATCCATTCAAGTTAAAATTACCCAGGTCAGCTGACAGGTCTGTATCTAGCAGCTGATTTTGACTAAAATAGGTATCAGTGTGTGCACACAGGCAGTCCTCTGGCAAACCAGCAAGAGTCGTGGGGACAGGAACATGTGGCACTGATCCTGTGCAACCCAGCATGGGCATCACTCCCTTAGTGCCTCTGCTGTGAATATGGGCAAAGCCTTTAGGCAGATAACTTCCTCAAGCAATGAAAGAGGCTTTATTTAGAGCCTGATCTAGCAGCTTCACTGGACACCTGAGCAGATCCATTGACAAAGAGTTAAAGCACAGCTTTGGCGGAATTTAAGCATTTAAGTACAATAGACCAAGGTTACGACAAGCAGCCAAAACATCATGAGGACACCTGAGATATCACAGACAGCTCTTTCAGGGAATTTCTACCAGAAAAACTTTCTTAGAATATTAAAAACCTGCTATGTGTGCCTAGAGGAGTCCATGTCATGGCTTTGGTAAACACCTAGCTACTTATCTCTAGACTGATGCTGCCTGGGAATTCATAAATAAAGCAATTCTGCACTTTAAACATTTCAAAATAACACAGAGCATGGCTAGAATGTGCAGAGAAGAAGGACCAGGTGACTTTTGGGTAATAGTGGCAATAATTTAGTTCAACAAGGAGAAGTGTAAAGTCCTTCACCTGGGCAGGATCAACCTCATGCACTAATATAGGCTGGAGGCCACCCAGCTGTAAAGCAACTCAGCAGAAAAGGATCTGGAGGTCCTGGTGGATATCAAGTTGAACATGAGCCAGCAATGTGTCCTTGCAGACAAGAAGGTGAGAAGCTTTCTATTGTGTGCAGAAAATCTCAACCACAGAGTCAATGCAGACAGTAAATCACACAGACTTTTACTCCAGCACTCTGTTCTCCAAAGGATGGGAATAAAATTCATGGAAGAAAGCAGAAGAGGAGGAATATTTTTCCTTTTATTATAGAAGTCATAACTTTGGCTCTATAATCCAAATATATCCAAATTTCCCCTGAAAGCAGACCTTTGATTGAAAAGTCTGCCCACCTATGTTATTAAGTGCAGAGTTTTCTTAGCAGATACACACAGATATATATATCTCTCTCACATATTCATATACTCAGTCTTCAATACATCAGTGACAGAAGCTCAAACACCAAAAGCACCTAAAATGGAAATGGGAGAAAAGTGGGTGTTCTCTTATTGAGATGACGAAGGTGTTCACTGGAATAAAAGGTTTCCAAACTGCATTCAAATCAGATTGCCAAAGCTGGAGGCAGCCATGAAAAACAAAAAGTAGGTAAATCTATGTTTTAGTATTCCAGACCAGGCATCAGAAAGCAGATACATTATTATTGTGAAAGGAGGTCTTTGGAAGCAATTAGGACTCAGTCTGACATAGTGTCAACAGAAATACTTTTTTGGATTTTGTTATTGGGTTAGTTACTGGCTAGATAAAGTAATGTGTGTTATAGATCTCCACAGAGACAGCACCTGGGGCACTGCTTTATGTGGATGCCTAGGAAAGAATTACTAAGCTGGAAGACCAGGGGGAGAGGAAAAAGAAAGTAAATAGAGAAAAGCAAGGAGCCGATATAGAGAGCTGCTGGTCCCTTGGCAGGGCAATGTCCCACCACAATTTATGTTGTTCCCACCAATGATGTTGCAAGATTTTCATTCCCTTCCTCACTTTCTTTATATTTGTTCCTGGAAAGGACAGGGGTTTGACAAGATGGATTTTTGTCCTGTTCTTAAAGAGCCATGTATTCTAGTTCATAGTAGTGCATCTTCTTAGCAGATTCATGCTCTTAGTCTACAGCTACCTGAAAGGAGGTTGTAGTGAGGTGAGTTTGGGTCATTTCTTCCAAATAACAAGCAATAGGTTGAGAAGAAACAGCCTCAAGCTGCACCAGGGGAGGTTTAGATTGGATGTTAGGAAAAATTTCTTCACTGAAAATATTGTCAAGCATTGGAACAGGCTGCTGAGGGAGGTGGTTGAGTCACCATCCCTAGAGGTATTTAAAAGATGTGCAGATGTGGCAAATAAGGACATAGTTTAGTGGTGGACTCAGCAGTGCTAGGTTAATGGTTGAAATCGATGATCTTAAGGGTTTTTTCCAACCTAAATTATTCTATGATTTTATATCTTCACCTATGAAATGAAGTTTCCTTCTCTCCTGCTCCTTCTGAGATGCAACAGAATCAATTGCTTAGTGCAGACACAGCTGGGCATCCCCAGCAAAGGTGCCAGGAGTTGCTGCCACACTGCCCGCATGCCCTTAGCAACCTACCAACACGTGCAATGATTCTTACTGGTTCCCAAACAGTTTCATTTTTTATCTTCCCTCACTGACCTTGCATTTATATCCTAGCCCTTCTCTTGCCATCCAGATTTTATGACCAAGGAAGATTCACACATTGTACAAAAAAAATATCCTTGGAGTATAACACCTAATTTCCAAGACATGCTCCTTTAATCTCCCCAGGGCTTTCTTACTTTTGGAGCAAAACACTATTGCCAGAGTTTGATTTCCCATCACAGTGAAGCAACAAGTTTCTCATCCTGCTAGTTTAAACACATCCTTATTTCTACAAACACCTCCATAGATATTTGTATCAGGTGTGTCTTCTCAGTACCATCATGGGCAATTATCCCACCCTTTCTGGTGGGACAGCAAGGCTTTGGCTGCTCTATTTAACTTTCCACTCATGGAGCTGCAAGGCATATTACAGCATTAGTTAAGCTTAAAAAGACAAGTGATGGTGGTTTTTTTTTTTTTTTTATATGTGAATGGTCTATAGATTTATCATCCCAAGTTACTGAAGTTAGTAAAAGTTTTTTGTATGTTGGCAAGGGAATTAATTTATATAGCTCTAAAGTATTTTGTAACTGTAATTGTGATTACATTGAGAGGTACTGTGAGGGAAAAATCATGTTCTTATTTTTAAAAAAAGGCTATTTGCTGAAAAAATAATGTGTATAGATCAGGCTTTAAGGTTTGTAAATATTTTGAGATCCTTAGGTGAAAATCCATATTAAAATATGAAATATCAATCTTGCCAGACAACATTTTATTCTTCAGGTATGAATCACATCAGTAAACAAGTCTTTCCTGGATTTGTGATGAAATGCCTGGGAAAAAAAAGATTATTAATTTGCTGTGCTGTGCTCTCCGGCATAAGGTACGTTTGCATTTATTTTCCACTTGATCTGGGTGGGCAGTGATAAGATTTGAAAGGAGATATTCAATTAAAGCTAAAAATAAACCAGAGCTATATTTGCCCAATGACAAAAACGTAATGCAGCTGTTTGTAGAAAGGAGCCATAATATCTCAGTGCGATATAGGATGGCCTGAGATTTAAGCAGTCTAGTGCCAAAAAAGTCATCATGCCTAGTTCCTTTAATTTTCACGGTTTCCCTGTCTACCTGAGTATTTCTTCCTGACTTGTAATTTTCTACTCCGAATCTTCTCCAAAGATCAGGCACCACCATCGTGACATCACCTGGTGAGATAAATTCTTTGTTCCAGGTGTTGTGGAAGCACACACACATTTCACAGCTCAGCAGCCAGCCTCGGCTCCAGCCGCACGGGGAAATGCTGTGCCTGTGAATGAGACTGAGCGCTGCGCTCTGGGGATGGGGAATTAAACAGCCAGGGGATGCATTTTCAGATGGGATTGTAAAATCGAAACGAGAATGGCTCTTGTTGGAACAGATAGATAGGTCCTGGCACCAGGATCTGTGCCAACAAATCAGTGCCATGAATGCTGGGGAAGGGAATTTAAGAAACACTGTATTCCAGAAATATGGTGCCCACCTTGGTCTGAAGGGATGAATTTCTTCAAAGTTCTCCAGTGTTTTGGAAGTAACTTTGATTATTTATTTATTTATTAGAGCTCGTCTATAGCAGATTCATAGTGTCTGATGCTCTGAGACTGAGACTTACTCTTTTGACCTCTTCTTCTACTCAGCCCAACACATTTCTCTGCCTCTGGTCTGCCATGTAGTCCCAATGCAGAGAAGAAGCTGTGCTGTACCACCCAGCAGGACCCTGATCTTCCAGTGAGGTATGTGAGGAAATGAAATGCATTTACTCTGGGGCACTGTCTGCAGCCATGTGAGAAGGTGCACCCTGGTGAGGATGCCTGGGGTGTCACCATGGTGTACTAGAAACCCTCCTCCCCACCACCTGGTCCAGAGCAGGGCTTTCAGCCATCATCCTCACTCCTGCACAGGAGGTGGCCATTAAGATGTAATACAGAGAGGGGTCCGCTTTTTGTTTTAAAACAGGAGGCCCAAGTTACGGTTTCACAGCCTTTTATTTTAGATGCAAGGCTAAATTTGACTTCCTGGGTTAGAACTGGACAGCCTGATTAAGGCAGGGCAACCCCAGAGAAGCACTCAGCTTGTGTTTGTGATAGAAGTGTAGTTTATCCCATTCAGCATGCTTCCCAAGGTCCATCCAGGGCAAGAAGTTCAAGTTATAATAGCAGAGACACGGTGGGAGCAGGTCTGGTCTTTGGTTTCTGTGGCTGCTGCAGTAACAGGAAAGTAACAGAGAAGGAAGTCATTCCCAGGGAATAGTCGTGTTCAAAACGTTGTATTTAGGTGTTGCCAAATGTGGGTGTTTCCTCTTCCACCTGGACAATGCTCTATTTCTTGATGTCTTCTGGGTTGTACAAACTGTAACACCTTGTGATGGGGATTGCCATTGAAGGCACGAGGTTATATTTCAGTGGTTTATCCTTGGCAATGTTTCCAGCACACAATAATCCCAGATGCCCAGTGAAATCTTCCTCCCATCTTCTCCCAATTACTCAGCCTAATCCTTGCCAGCCTGTAATCAAGACAAGCAGCCTTGTGAGACACTGATGTGTTTCGTGGTTGTAGTTTGCTTGCCAGCATTTATGACATTTGGATAGACAGTGGTGAGTCATGCGAGACAAATGGTTAGTGTCGTCTATTTTTTTATGTACGTATATAATTAGATTTTGCAGCACAAGAGAAAACAGCCCCTGTCCAGCTTGTCAGAAAAACAATAAAAAGGGAAAAGAAAATTTTCTTTGGCAACTTCTTCCAGCCTGAAAAGTGGATTCAATGATAAGGTTCTTAGATGGCTTTTCTTTCCCAATGAGTTATAAAATAATTTCAGCGCTGTTGCTAGAAAAACATAATAGAGCCATGAAACAGAATTGTTGGAAAGAAGTGAAACTACCACAGCTATTCAAATAGATACTGCATCCTGACACAGTGTGTAGGATTTACTGCCTTTTTTCCTCAAGTGGTTTTGTCTGTGGGCCTTCACTTCAGTGCACTCCTCCCTGTGCCCACTGGTGGTCTTTTCTTCCAACATCAATGAAAGCCTTTGCAACTCCCCTAAGTGGTCTCTGCAACAGGTCTCTAGTGCCTACTCAGTGGGATTTCTGACTAGATTTGTATTTTTCTCCCTCCTTCACATCAGAAACACGTAATAGTTAACACACAGAGCTCAGGTTTTGTTTCAGACTATGACATTGAGTCATTATGCAGTTTTTGGCAAACAGCGGAGGCTTACAAAAATGTCCACTCATTTCTGATGACTCAGTTTGAGCAGCTTCATGCCTCTTGGGCTTGAATTTTCTGAAGGTCTTTGAGAACCCAAAGCACACACAAGACTTTGTTACACAACCCTGCTGCAAATTCAGTCAAAGTATACCAATCTGGGTGCTTAGAAGAGGAGGTGCCCATAATTAGAGGGCACGTGGGGGAATGTTGGTCTTACTCACTGGGTTTTGGTTTATTCCTCATTAACATAAGGGCAAAAATACCAAGGCTCCATCTTGACAATAGGTTTTTTTTTGCAAAACACAGTGACCATCAGGTGAAAGTGCAGTGGTGTAAGCAAGGGAAAGGAGCGTGCCCCACGTTGAAAACCTGACCATCTGATAACTAGGACATGCCCTCTTACAGGCAAAACCATTTTGCTTAGAAGTACCATCAAATTTCTGGAGAAATCTCTCACACAAATACAAGGCATCTGCCCAGCAGCTACAAAGAGATAAACAAGCCACTTCAGAGGTGTGAGCAAGCAATTTCATTAGAATATATAGCAGATGCATGGACACTTCAGTGCAAGCTAACCAAAGTTCCCAGAAAGTCTCCTGATATGTAACAGCTGGTCCTACTGTAAAAATCACCATTGCTTTCATGTAAACTCAGAGATATTTTTCTGTCAGCTGTAGATACCTCTATTTGAATTATAGGATCTCTCAAGTATAATTATGACTGTTGGATTATCAGTCACTGTGGAAGGGCCATGATCTGGCAACATCAGATCTATTATCCCTCTGTGGGATAAAATACCCAAGGTCTCCTCAAGGTGTGATGAAGATCCGGCTGGAGATTCTCACTGCTGTGTGGATTAACGCCTGAGTGTGGCTGAAATGAAGCTACAATGAACAATTCAAACATTAAAGAGCCTTCAGGAACTGTCTACATTACAAGTCATGGGCTGTGCTATACCATTTCTGTTTCTGAACATGCTTTTACAGCATACAAGCCTCAAACTATTCTCTAGCTCAAGAGATTCACAGATTCGGCAGAGATAATCCATAATAGAGCATAACTGGATGCATAACTCCATGTATTATCTAACTTGGTTCTGCAGTTGAGGGATTATGAGCAGAGGTATGGGGAGAGTGACAACAGGCCCTTCTGTCAACTGCACGTAGCTTGTTTGTACCAATGAGAAACTCATGTAGAATAACAGAATAAGGATTTTGAAACTGATTTTCACGAACAAGCAGCTACCAAGGATACATTGTCCTCTCAAAATGAGTCACAGACTGTAGCTCAGGTGCTCCCCTGCAAAATTGCCCTCTTCTTTGCCCTGATCTCTGTTGCAGATCCTGTCCAATCCTGCTCTTTGAAGACACTACATTTTCATCCTCAACACCAAGAAGAACTGGGTTGGACTAGCACTTGGGTGGGAGACTTCTACTGCATTCTAGAGTGTGAGTTTTGAGGTTTTTAAATTACAATTGCTCTTCTTCCTCTCCTATCAATCCAAGGCAGATTGATCCAATGACCCCAAATTGTCCATAAGACCACAACCACTGAATACGTCCATAAAAACCTCTTGATGCTTACAAACACCTGCTGTCTTGAGCCAGTTTAAATTTTAAGGATTGGGGTTTTTTGTATTCTTTCTATAATTCCATAATTATATATCCATCTTCCTGCCTTGAATTAATGGGTGCTGTGATAATAAGTTTCTGATAAAGTCTATCCCAACTTGCAGTAATTCTTATGGATTTCACTAGGAATATTTTGGGGATACCTAGTTTCCTTGAAAACCAGGAAGATCCAGATTTTTTGGCAGAATGACTCAAGCTACAGTTCAGCTAGGGCATGCACAAAGCCATGGAGGGGTTTGCAGGGTTAGAAGTACATCAACAGAAACTTTAGTGGAAGCCAAATGTGGAAGGCCAGTGAGAGTATCTGTACTATTGACTTCCAGAATATAAATTAGATACAATTAAGACAGGAAAAATCAGGAGTGTATTTCCCCTACACAGCCATTGGAGAAGAGTGAGAGCACTTTGAGGGTCAGGGGGGAAAGTGGAAGCAGCATAGAACAGCTGAGCTGAATGCTTGCAACAGGCAGAAGAAGTAATCCCTTGGTGTTCATTTTAGGAGTGAATATATCAAGATAGAAGGATTACAAATCCCACCTGAAAGAGAAAATAGAAATATATGGCGTTTGATGAGGGAAAATTGAAAGGGAAATTGTCAGATAGAATTCATCAAGTACAAGAAATGTCTCAGACACAACATCACATAAGATATTAAAAAAGCACAATCAGGGAGCACAGCAGGTATCATGTGTCAAAGGAACTTCATTGCTTGAGCTGATGACTAACACCATTTATACAGAAAACAAGCATAGCACGCCAATGCAACCTGACAGAAAGCACATCTCAGAGCAGCTGCCTCTGATTCGTAGCGTTGCTAGAAAAGCAGAGGTTAGCAAGTGACTTTGGTGGCTTCTGTTCAGGAACCCTGTCGATCAGCAGAGTTATTAAAGAGTTATTTAACACTAGAGGCAATTGTACAGTTTCACACCTGGCTAAATCAAGACAGACAGGAAAATAAATGTTCATTTCTTCCTTCTACCTTACATGCAGCTGCCCCAAGAAAGGTGCTGAACAAGGGGCGGTGACATCAGGACAAGTTCCCTCTAAAAAGACAAAGGAAGAGAAGACAAAAACCCAAACCTGCCACTCCCACAGGCCTGTTTACCAAATCCATGTGGTTTACTGGCCTTTTTTTATTTGCTATTCTCTGTGCATTTGGCAGATCTCCTTGTGTGATGGGGTTGTCATATGCCATGGTGGTATCCCCACTGCTGAAGGCCTGATGTCTAAAACCTACCAAGGAAAGTGGTTCCTTATATCTGTCCACTTGGCAACATAACATATTCCTCTGACATCCTTCCCAGGGGTTTAAACAATGTTTTCCAAGTGGGTACCAAAGGTAAATGAAGCCTCAAAGCATTCCTGAATATTCGAAACCCTATACCCTCTTATTTGCTAAATTAAGGAGATTTTCTATGTTCTACCTTTGGCTGTACCTCAGTGTCTGCATTAATACAGCTCCACTACTGTTCAGATTTTCTGAGATCAAGCTGCTTTTGATATGCAAAAGGTGCTGGAATGCGTATTTCCTATTGTGTTTCTTGTTGCCAAGATCAGAAAGTCAATTAAATTCAATTTTTCCTCACTTCTCCCTTTCCAGGTAGCATTGCATATAGTGTAAAAAACCCCAGCAACCCAGAAGACAATATCTTGGAAATTCCTGCTTGACAATATCCCAGAAATTCCAATAAATATTAAATCTTGCCATGTTTTTTGATGGTTTGTGGCATGCTGACATGATATCGATGACAGATGACATTAATGTGAGTGGTTGACATGGCATTTGCAGCACTTTGTCCAAAACATTCGCTGCTTCTTCTTGCTGTTATCTATCTTTTTTTGTCAGTTTTTTTGGAATCAGTGTTATTACGCTTGAAGAACTGAAGGCTTTTATTATTATTCTTCCCTACTCTGTAAAAACTCTATTATTGGAGTCTGACAGCATTCCTAGATCACAGAAAGAAGGAGAAATGCCCAGCAAGAGGAAGGTGAGGGTGGCTGAGGGAGGCAGAGGTGGCCCTGGGAGCCGGGGGCGGGTGGTACCATGGACAGCGGCTCCCAACCGCCACCGCCCACCCATGAACATGACCAATTAGAGCTAATTTAGGGACAGAGGCGACTTCTTTCCGGGGTTTGGGGCTATTTTTGTACTAGAGATTCAAGGGAAACAGAGGAGGAGAAAAAGGAGGGTTCCTCAAGGCCAATGCAAGGTCCCGCACCTGGGTTGGACTAGCCCCCGGTGTCCGTACAGGCTGGGGGATGAAGGCATTGAGAGCAGCCCTGCTGAGAAGGACTTGGGCCTGCTGGTGGATGAAAAACTGGACATGAACTGGTGATGTGTGCCCACAGCCCAGAAGGCCAACCACAGCCTTGGCTGCATCAAAAGAAGCATGGCCAGCAGGTCAAAGGAGGTGATTCTGCCCCTTTACTCCACTCTGGTGAGACTCTACCCGGAGTACTTCATCCAGCTCTGGAGTCCTCAGTACAGGAAAGACACAGTACTGTTAGAACAGGTCCAGGGGAGGCCACAAAGAGGATCAGATAGCTGGAATACCTCTCCAATGAAACAGGCTGAGAGAGCTGTGGTTGTTCAGCCTGGAGAAGAGAAAGCTCCAGGGAGACCTTATCACGGGCTATCAATGCTTTTAAAGGCAGATATAAAGAAGATGGGGGCAGATGTTTTAGCAGGGTCTGTAGCAAAAGATTAAGGGATAATGGTGTTAAACTAAGATAGGGTAGATTTAGACTAGACAGAAGGAAGAAATTTTTACAATCGGGGCGGTGAAACACTGGAACAGGTTGCCCAGAGTGGTGGTAGATGCCACTGAGCAACCTAGTCTAGTAGAAGGTGTCCCTGCCCATGGCAGGGGAGCTGGAATAGAAGATCTTTAAAGGTCTTTTCCAACCCAAAGTATTCTATGATTCTGTGATTCTATGAAAAAGCATGCTTTAGGAAGGTTCTGTCAAAAAAAAAAAAAAAAAAAAATAGAAGATCTTTAAAGGTCTTTTCCAACCCAAAGTATTCTATGATTCTGTGGATTCTATGTTGAGTAAAAAAAAAAAAAAAAAAAAAGAAAAGAAAAAAAGATACATTAGCCATTATTTGAAATTGCAAGGTTTTTCTTGTTTCTGTAATTTTAAAAAACATATTATATACTAAAAATATCATAAAAATGATAAAAATATAATATATAATTGATAAGTATCTTTATATATATCTAATTTCATTCTATTTGTTGATATTTGGCTGTCAGAACTGGAGAAACAACATAGTTTGGTACAATCTTTTGAATAAAAACTTCAATCCATAAATTATTTTTTTTATAACATATTCCCCTTAGCTTATCTTCCCTGGTCAGGTGCTCCCATTTAGCTCAATGGCACTAACTGTGTGAGAAAGGAAGTCAGAAAGTGGTTTTGAGAGCTCAGCTTGCAGCAAGGATTGGTGAAGAGTACACAAAAGTTTTCTTTAGGTTTGAATTTTTTTCCTTTTGATCAGGAATAAAATATTTTGCTCTAATTTCAAGTTTTGTGAAAGCTTTTTTTAAAAAAAGAAATGTAAATTATAACTGTAAACACAAGAATGTTAAAGTATTTTACACCAAAGTTGTCAAAACTGACTTTTTCAGAAACACACAGAAGTCTATGTTGACTAAAGTAATGAAATCAATCTAGACTCACAAAATACTCTCTTCCACACATTATATATTTTTCTACCTTTATAGAAAATATTTCATCCTTATTAAAGAAAAATACAGAGATGAGATTATGTCCGTCCTTCCTTCCTTCCTTCCCTCCCTCCTTCCTTCCTTCTTTCCTTTTCATTTCTGGAGTGGAAAAGCATCATTTAAAGTTGGTTTTATTATTTTCAGAGGTAATATGCTATTTTTGAAGCAATAAATATGACATAAAGTATTCCAAACATGTTCAGCCACCACAGTTTCATTGTTAATGTCAAATACAAGTTTGAAACCTGAAAGTCCAGTGGCCAGCCAAGAGCTGAGCTGTTCCAGGGAGAGGACAGTAAATTTAGGTTTCTTTATTTTCCACTAACCCTATTCAGGAGGTTTCCTCTCCAGACTCATTGTGAAAATTCTCCAAGGGCATTTTTGGTGACAGGTGAAGCCATAGTCCAAAACCTTAGTGATTTCTTGTGGAAAACAAACAGGAGAGGAGAGGGACTTTTTGGTGGCAGCAAGCAAGTGTGAAGAGTTGATGCACTTGGGTGTGATTTGAGGGATTGTTTTAGAACAGGAGCTATTGATGAGGTGGCACAGTCCCAGATTTGTGTATGACACTCACCCAAGCACCCAAAGAACCAGTTTTTTTATGCCTTTTCTTGCCGAGTTCATTTTCTGCCAGACCGTTGAGCTGAGTGAGCTCCCCGAGGAGTCCAAGAGGTGCCGGTCACTTCTTCAAGCCCAGATCTGCAGCTGGGAGGAGGACCTCTCCTTGCCAAGCAGCCAATTTGGCTGTGTTTTCCCAAGGGCCATGCCCAAACAACCCAATATCCAGTTTCCAAGCAGGCCAGTTCAGCCCCAAAACCCAAAGGCCACCATTCCAACCCACCGAGCCCCACTCGGTCCTCCTGGCAAGGCAAAGAGGGGCTGGGCAGGGAACATCTCACCAACGCTGGTGCTAGCACATCCTTCTTACGTTCTGGGATTTTTTAGCATTGTGGTTTAGTTTATGAGCAAAGCCCCCCTTTGCTTTTAGCAACAGGGAAGCCAGTCCGATTGCACATCTTTTTTTTTCCTTTTTGTTTTTCTTTTTTTTTCTTTTTTTGTTTGGTTTGTTGGTTTGGGTTTTTTTTTTTTTTTTTGTTTTTTTTTTTTTTTTTTTTTTCTTTTTTTTTTTGGTTTGTTGGTTTGGGTTTTTTTTTTTTTTTTTGTTTTTTTTTTTTTTTTTTTTTTCTTTTTTTTTTTTTTTTTTTTTTTCCCGTGCAGCTGCTGTGTGTTAGGAAGGACCGGTTTGACGGCAGAAAAAGGCATCGTTTCCACGGGGAGTCATCATGCCCGGAGGGATGGACCCCCTCCCGGCTCGGAGCGGAGCGGGGCGGCTCCCCCGGCTGCCGGCCCCCGCGGGAGGCGGGCTGTAGCGGAGCCCCCGCTGCCGGTAAATGCCTCCGCCGGCATCCTCATCCCCGGGCAGGTCCTGCCATCTCCTCCGCGGGCAGGGCTGCCTCCGCTCCTCCCTCCGAGTGGGACCCCTTCCTCCAGCAGGCTTCCTCCAGGTAAGTCCTGAAAACCCCCCTCCCTGAAGGATCCCCCCCACGACCCCCACAGCCTGGGAAGTGTCCCCCTGCTCCGGGCTAGTGTATGGTGGGGATGTGCCCTCCACCATCCTTGGGGCTTTTCCCCTCGGGGGTTTGGGGGTTTTTGAGCCCTGGTGGGTGGGATTTGGCGCCCCAGGGCTGGGGTTTGGCACCCTAGAAGTTGGAGTTTTTGCAGCCCCGGGGTTTGGGGGTTTTGCACCCCTGAGGGCTGGGGTTTGGCACCCTGGCTCAGTCACTCCCCTGGTGTTTGTGAAGTGGGTTTAACTTTGCCCTGAGTTTTCCTGCTGCGATCACGCTTCAGTTTCTCCTCGCTCCTGGTTGCAATAAACTTGCTTTTGCTGTGGAAGAGCATGCACTTCTGCCGGGTGGGAGATCTCAAAGGGCAAACCCCTGTGCTGTCTCATAGGTGGGGGTTTGATGTCCTGCTTTGGGGCAGAAACCATCAGCCACACGCAGCCAGGCTGGGAGCAGCTCCATGGGGTGGAATCTGGGAGCCTGGAGACCTGGTGTGAGTCCCTGCTGCTGGGCAAAGCCCCCCACACCCAGCTCAGCTGTTACTGCTGAGCTGCTTTGAGCCAGCTGGCTGCCTTCAATGGTCAGGTTTGAAGGTAATGATGGTGTGTTTTGCTAGGTTTCCAGACCCTGGGCTGGTTAGCTGTTGAAAAGGTTGTAGGAGTTGTTCTGTGCTGATTTGGGGGTGGAAAGGGCATTTCTTCATGCCCTGAGAAATACTGCCCTTCAAATGGGAAAGTTGGATGGAGGAAGAGAGAGAAAAGGAAAGTCAGTGCAAAGGCTCACTTGCTGCATGGCCTCCTTAAATGCATGTTCTACAGGTGGAAGCATCCCCAGGGATGTTCCTTCTCCTTTACCACCGCATGCCAGCCTTGCAGAGCGATGCCCTGTTTGGCAAATTACTGAGAGGCTGCAGTTTCAGCTCACGGCAGAGGAGAGAAGGAAAATGTGTTTTGAAGTCCTGGGGCAGGTAGAGTTGCATATGCTGCCATATGCTGAATTGTATTTAGTTTGGCAGAAGAGCAGAGTCTGGCAGCAAATATATTTCCAATTTTCATAATTCCTCTCGGATTTTAAAGTGCAGTCAGCCTTGAGATTGCAGAGCTTTTTTTTTCCTCCCCTGCCATCAAAAGATACCATTTAGCGATGAAATTAACCATTTACTTGGGTTTTGTCTGCTGAATAAAATAGGTCAAACTTTCAGCATATTAAAGGAAAACTGTTTGAATGATGGAGTTGCTTTTCTCAGGCAGGCAAAGAGCAGAACTAGCCCATCAGTTTTTGAAGGGAAGAAAAACTGTAGTGTCCAAATAAGAACAAAGCAAACCCTGAGATCCCCAGGAAACCTGGGATGATCCCACATCATGGTACAACTAGGCATTTAAACCACTGATTTAAGAGGGTTCCTTACAGGAAAGGCTGAAAGATTGATCTTAAAGAAAGACACTGTGCTATATCAGCAGCTATATCCACACGAGGAGAATTTAAAAGCTCCAATAT